CCTATTTGGGAAGATAATTAGAAAATAATGTTTGGGGAAGTAGCGCGTACAATTAATTTTCAACATATGTTTACAGAGCAGGTACTATAAACTAGACTATTCTACGTGCTTGGTGGATAAGTTCACGAACAAAATAAAGATCTCTACCCTCATATATGTGTGTGTGTGTGTGTGTGTGTGTGTGTGTGTGTGTATATATATATGTGTATATATATATATATGTATATATATGTGTGTATATGTGTATATATGTGTGGTGTGTATATATATACACATATATACACACACACGCATATATATACATATATACACACACACATATATATATATACACACACACACACACATATATATGTGTATATGTATATAATATACACATATATATATATATTTAAGAGATGGGGGTCTCCCTCTATCACTCAGGTTGGAGGGCACTAGTATAATCATAGCTCACTGTAGCCTTGAATCCCTGGGCTCAAGTGATCCTCCTGCTCAGCCTCCTGAGTAGCTGGGATTACAGGTGGGAGTCACTGTGCCTGGCTTCTCATGGAGTCATGATTTTCTGATTTGATCTTGAGACATCTCCATACTATTTCTGTGAGACCTGGTGTTATGAAATTGATAAGATTGTGCAGTTGGGTGCTTCTCATCCATAACTGGTCACTGTATTCGTATGTTCTCATGCTGCTATGAAGAAATACTCAAGTCTGGGTAATTTATAAAGAAAAGAGGTTAATTGACTCACAGTCCTGCATGGCTGGGGAAACTTACAATCATGGCAGAAGGCACCTCTTCACAGGGTGGCAGGAGAGAGAATGAATGCAAGCAGGGAAATGCCCAATGCTTATAAAGCCATCAGATCTCGTGAGAACTCTCATTATCACAAGAACAGCATGGGGGAAACTGCCCCAGTGATTCAATTACCTCCCACCAGGTCCTTTCCATGACTTGTGGGGATTATGGGGATTACAGTTCAAGATGAGATTTGGGTGGGGACACAGCCAAACCATATCAGTCACTGTTGGTGATGCTTGGTTCTTTCGGGTGTCTCTGAGATTTATGATGAACAAGACAATGAACCAGGAGCAAGTGTAAGGCGCATGTTCTTCAGCGCTTCACCGTCTACCTAGGGCAGTGTGGACCAGACTTCTAGACTGAAATGGAAAGGCTGTGTTGATATTGCAGAAAGATTACAGATGAGGACCCTAAAAGCCCATCATAAAGTAAAATACCAAGAAGTCTTGTGTTTTATATTCAAATTTCTTGCAAATTAGGCATAGTCCTATAAGTCATTCATACTTTAATATTAAAAGCATTGGACTTGCTCTTAAAGTAAAAGAACATTTCTTAACATCCCTTCCCCTAAATCTTCAAGTGAAACTTGCTGAAAAAAGATGCTCTAGGTATATTGTACAGATTCGAATCTCCTGGTTTACCTGTGCATAGCTATAGAAGTAAAGCCCATTCTAACTGGAGAAGCATGGATGTCTGAATGTTTCACAAAACCAAATTCTGGGCACCAAAGTGAAGGGAGGTTTGGATGAGAGTGATTATTCAACTTCGTCTGCTGGTTGGGTTACTCCTAGTTCTGCTTGGGTTAGCCTAAGTTCCCAGGATGTGTTCATCCTATAGGCCAAGATGGAAGTAGCAAAAATCTAGAGCATTGAAGATAAATGAAATCCAATCATTTGTCTTCTCAATATTCCAGTCTTCACTTAAAACCTTTAGCTGTTAATTGGACATTTTACAAAAGTCTGTTTATTTTAAGGCCCCAACGTTTGAAGGACTATAAGGTCACTGTCAGTATATTTCTGGAGGAGGAATGTTTGTCTCCTGTCTTCAGGGTTGTGGTTTATTAGTTTTCCCATCCAAAGACTAGGTCTGATGCCAACAAATCAGAGGTTTTTTCCTGCATCGACAATCAAGCATTTGGACATTTCCCCACCAATGTAGAGGTGCCCTGGGTTAGAATAGTTTTTTGCTATGAGCCAAGGCTAAGTTCCATCTCTCATTTACGCACAAGGAGCAGAGGGATGCAAAGGATTGTCAGTGGCAGAGAATATGCCACTTTTTTGGCTGTTTTCCACAGCATTCAGATTCATATCTGAGCTCAAAATGCTTTGTATGTTTTCTCCACATGCTGAGACAGGCCTGTTATCAAAGATAAGGTTGAGAAATGGTGAGAAGGGGCTTGCTTATGCTCATGGTCATCATTACAGTGCAATCTCTTTCCAAAATGGGAAAGGTCCCCTCATTGGAGATGAGCTTCAGCTTTGGTCCATCTCTGGAGTCGCCTCTACCTGATTTTCCAATCTTATCCCCTAATCTTGAACCTGCCCTTTAACTGAAAGAAAGACACACTTTTCCCCCCTTTTGATGTTTTATCTGAATCCTTGGCAAAAGCATAGCTTATAATTTTTTAATTAAGATGCCTGTGTTTGAGAAGGTGGTGACAACTGAGCTCCAGGCTCATCTCGTTTATCACATGCTCCAGGACAGGTTTGGATCTGGGTTTCAATCAGGTCATAACATGAAGTCAGGATCTGTGATCATTGCCTTATTCACAGGAGCAGAGGCTTGTGGAAATAAAGGGAGGCACTCCAGTCCCCAACATACCCAGGGTCTTTTCATTCTGTGTCATTGGACTGAAATTTCTCCCCACTGGATCGGGACTTGAAGATGCCACAAGACTTGTCACTTACCTTGCAAGTGATCATCTTTCTCTTTGGCACCCTGAATATTTTGACTTGCTTGGACAAATAATTTGGAGTATTTACAGATCCCACTTGATGGGTTGCCAATACTTAGGCAAACTTGGCTTGGTATAACCGGAGAGCTATTGTGCAAAGCCAGGAAGGTAGCAGTAGCTTTACTGTAAGTTCCTTACCAAGGAGGGATAACTCATTAACTCTTCCACAACTCTTTCATTTTAGCTACCGTTAAGCAGTAGCAGCATGGACCTGTGGGATAGAGACTAGGGTCAGCTAAGTTTGATTGGGTCAAGGATTGTAAAGACTGAGCCCGGGACTCTCTGTGGAAGAGTCAGACACAACACAGTAGACAGAGGTCAGAGTCAGCCATGGATTAAATGGAGAGGACTGCAAAGGACAAATTTACTGCGGAGAGATACGTGGTGTGCATTAGTAAGCATGGCTGAGAGTTTCCAGAGGCAGAGGCTATCTCTTTAAGGACTGGAACTTCATAATGTCAGCTGTTGGTGGTGGTCATGCCCTACACTCTGTTAAATATTGTTAAGCTTTGGGAGGAAATGCTGGCCTCATCACATGTCACAATCAACTCAAGGAAGTCTCTGTTCATGCTGATGGTTCCAAGCTCATTATTAACAGCATGCCTTTCATTCTCAAAAGTCTACTTGTTTGGAAAATACCTGGTATATTCACACTAGATAAGGAAAGCAGATGTTTCTACCTTGTTTTTAAGATCAGAGACACCTCAAGCTTTGAGGTGCTCCTCTCCCAGCTTTTTTTTTTTTTTTTTGAGATGGAGTCTCACTCTGTCACTCAGGCTGAGTGCAATGGTGCTATCTCAGCTCACTACAGCCTCTGCCTCCCAGATTCAAGTGATTCTCCTGCCTCGGCCTCCTGAGTAGCTGGGATTACAAGCGTACACCACCATATCTGGGTAATTTTTTGTATCTTTAGTAGAGGGGGGTTTCACCATGTTGACCAGGCTGGTCTTGAACTCCTGACCTCATGATCTGCCAGCCTTGGCCTCCCAAAGGGTTGGGATTACAGGCATGAGCCACCGCACCCAGCCTCTCCTCTCTCAACTTTAAGGCTGTTTTAAAATATCTTTTTATATCCTTAATATGCTCACATTTTTCTCCACCTTCTCGAACATATGGAATGTAGTTATAACTGTTTTGACGTCCTTGCCTACTAACTCCTTCATCTATGTCATTTCTGGATCAGTTTATGTTGATCAGTTTCCCTCCCCCTCATTATCCATTATGTTCCTGGGCTACTTTGCATGTCTGGTAATTTTTGATGGATGGCAAGACATAATTTTTATCTTGTTGGATGTCAGATATTTTTGTATTCTTTTAAATATTCTTGGCCTTTGTTCCAGGACACAGTTAAGTTGCTTGGAATCAGTTGATGTTTTTGAAGTTTGCTTTCAAACATGATTAGATGGAACCAAGCAGCCTTTGGTGCAGGGATGTTTTTTTTTTTCCATGTCAGACGGATGATGTGCTGATGTCATAATAAGGTTTGAGAAAGGCACGTCTCAGACATGGGCAAAAAACCCAATTGCACTTATGAACCACCAAAGAATCTGGTCTAGGGGTACTTTTTCCCTTTTGAGGATACACAGTGCCCCATGTACTACAAGGTTTCTCCATTCTGGCTATGGGAACGTCAACGTTCCTTGCCCCTGTAGCTCAGGCAGTATTCCTGCCCACTCCTCATGAAGCTTCTCCACATCCCTGCCCTGACCAGTACTCAGCTGAAGAGTAGGGGAACCCCCTTTCCACCTCCAGGCTCTCCTCTGTGCAGATCTCTCTGTGCAGCTCTCTTCCCTGTGAAGCTCTCTTTTCTCCATTACTCTCCTCTGCAGGGTTAGCCAGCATGACATCCCTGAATTCTCACCTGTGTCCACAAACCACAAGGCTTTGTTCAGGCTCTGTCTTTCTGCACCATCACTTAACTGAAAACGCTCTCACCTGATAAGCCAGAGCATCTCAGGGCTCACCTTGTTTGTTCCCCCTTTTCACAGGAATCACTGTCCTCTGCTGCCTCTTGTCTAGTGTCTGAAATTATTTAAAATGGTTTCCATTTGTTGTTGTTGTTTTTTTTTCTGTTTTTTCAAGTTGATATTTCTTTTTTTCCCCCCATTTATTTATTTTATTTCATTTTGGGTTTTGGGGTACATGTGAAGAACATGCAAGATTGTTGCATAGGTACACACGTGG